CTGCGGCTGCAGGCCGTGCTGTTCCCCGGGTGGCCCTCCCCGAGCGCCCTCATGTTCCTCACGCTGCTCTGCGTCGCCTTGCTGGGTGAGCTGGGGGCAGTGGGCTGCACCCCACGTCTGCTCCCCCTTGCCCCGTGCTCCCCACCCGCTGCTCTGCCACCGCCGCCCTTCATTTCCTTCCCGTGCTTGCCTCTTCCCTCCAGAGCAGCTGCTTATTTACCAGGTCGGCGTCATCCCCAGCCAGTACTACGAGGTCCTGGGGAGCAAGGACTTCTCCGGGTTCAAAACGCTGACTGCTGTTGCCCTGACGCTGATCGTAGTAAACGCCACGGTAAGACAGGTCAGAGCTTCCCATGTCTTGGGAGGGGAAGGCTGCCCGTGGCTCCTGGCACCATCCTGGTGACAAATGGTCTAGGTCTGCCCATGCCCTGTTCAGTAGCTACATGCGGGATGGATCACTGGTACAAACTGTTAAATTTTTATGTAATTTTGGGAAATGCTTGTTCTTCTCACTCATCCCTTCCTGTCTGTCTCCTTGTCCTCATTTCAGCTAAAAAGCTTCGACCAGTTTATCTGCAACATGATGTACGTGAGCTGGAGGAAATCCCTCACCGAGTACCTCCACAGCTGCTACTTCCAGGGCCAGGTCTACTACAGCCTGCACGTGCTGCGTGAGGACATCGATAATCCGTAGGCTGCCTGTGGCTTCTCTCAGCCTCTTGCTTGGCTTCTCGTGTGCTGCTCCGTGCCTTTTCCTGACTTCTCTGTGTCTCTGGGTAGGGGCTTGAGCCCTAGAAGCTTATGTCATCTATGCACGAGTACCCTCATCAGCCCTGGGTGGGAGCTCCTGTGATTGATGGTCACAGTGGTTTTAGGGGTAGGATGTTTCTACTGTGAGGAAAATAGAGGCCCGGCAGATCTAGTGCTGCTATAAAACATACTCTCTGCAAACTCAACCCTTGACACGCAGTGTGACGTTGCAAAGGACCTGGCTAGAGTCAGAGAGCACGGCCTCTCCCTGCCGTTGGTGCAGCCAGCACGTTAGGACTGTCCCTGTTGTTCTGTTTGAACTTCAGACACCAGATTGTCAGCTGAACGCAGTTCTGTTTAGTTGGATTGTTAGCCCAGGCAGGGCTTTGTTTTGCACGGTATGAGGGCTGCATTTCCCCTTTCCTGTTCTAGGGAGGAAATGTCGGGGGTGACTTGAAATATAAGAGAGGGAGAAGCATTCTGTTCCTCCTTGCTTATCCCAGCCCAGCACAAGATCCCCTTCCAGTTTGCTTCATGCAGTGTCGTGCTTACTGCAGAGCTGCTGGTCGAAGGTCGAACACCTCCCTTCCTCACAGCTGCCTGCTGACACTGGCCTTCCAGCCTGATCTTGCCCGCAGGACACTGCTGGCGTAGTTACACGTAGTTGAGGAGTTAAAGAGCCTACATTAGACATCATGTGAGAGGTAGAGGCTTTTGTCTTTTCCCTTTTACCTTCAGAGTTTAAAGATACTATATTTGGAATATTTGCTGAAAAACTAAAAACCAGGGGATAACTTTTTCCAAATTGTGTGGCTTTATACAGTTGTTTTGAGACCTCAAGCTCTCCTCCCCTGGAGGGGGCATCCCTGGTCTAGTCACTGCGCTGCTGCCATCTTCCTTGCTGATGGTACCAGAGGAGGCCAAGTCCAGGGCTGTCTTGCAGGGACGCCTACCTTTTGCTTATAGTGGTGACCTCAAGGAACTGAATCAGCTGCTGTGCTTCTGCTGCCCAGTGCTCCAAGCTTTTTGTCCCCACCCCTTTGTTGCACAGCGTGGTGTGGCTGCACAGTGAAATTTTGCTTGATATCTCAGGTGGTTTTTGTATCTGTGTCATTTTTCAACCAGACCTGTTCCATGGCTGCTTCTGCTGGCCCAGTGCTAGGGGACAGCCCGAGTAAGAGCAACTAACTGTGCGTGAGGGGGAGCAGCAAGGAAGGAGAGGGCTTGTCTGGGGTCAAACAGCCCTACCGCCGAACATGAAATCGCAGCTTCATGATGCTGATGCACTCTCCAGCCACTGTCGGGGTTACTCCCACCCTTGTTCAGTGTTCATTTCAGATAGTGTTTTGTAGTGGTGTGGAGTTGCAAGGAGAGGTTAAAAAGCCATGCCTGTCACCAAGGCGTGCAGTGCTTCCCAGGCGGTGTAGCACATTGCCTGTGGCCAGAAGTTCCTGCACGCCTGTCTTTTTCTTTGGGCCAGGGGAAGGGGAGGAGAGAGGACAGCATTGCTGTGCTGCTCAGGTTTATTTTTAACCAGAGAATGGGATCGCATTGTGCAGTGAAATGCATGAGATAGCTGGGTCAGTCTGCTCCACAGCGATAGAGCCAGCTCTCCTGACTTGAGCAGAGCAAATGTGTGGCATTGCTGGGGAGTATTTTTCATTACCACCTTGCTTCTGCCTTTTTGGTGCTGCTACAAAAATTCTCCTTATCTGCAATTCCTTGATGAGAATTGTTTGCCTGCATCGGGTACTTAGAGAATGAACTAGAGCGATGAAGTGACCTCCCATTGTGCGGTGCAAACCAAACTGGGTGTTAGATGCACGGTGTCATCCATCTAGAAGGAATGAAGAGTGGGTTCTGAGTGGCATGAAAACACTTGCGCTCCTAGCAGGGCATTTGAGTTGATTTTTACGTGTTACTACATTTATAATGTAGGTCATGAGAAGCAATGTCCTACCGTGAGTCTATAGCATGACCTAAGTGATAACTGTGTGGGAACAATTACGACCAAGGAAAAATGGTGACTGTAAGGTCAGTCAGGGTGAGAGCTGCCCCAAAATTAAATCCATTGCTGTTTCAGAACTGCAAAAAAAGTTGAGAGATTAATGTCTTTGTATCTGCCCTGGTGGCTAACCAGGAGTCTGTCCTTGCTCTACGTTCTGGACTCCAGCATTCACTGTCATGGCCTCTCTACTTGTGCTTAGCGCATCAGGCTGGACCTCATCCACGTGCTCTGGGCAGATGAGGTGCTGAGGGAGTAAATATGCTGAAATCCTTCAGTTATCCCAAATGCAACTCCTGCTCAGCAGTGGGACAGATGGGACCTGAGGGTCTGTCACCCACATGGCTGCTGCCAACGGGGCGAGGAGGCTTGGTGCACTGCTCCTGCTCTTGTGGGATAGAGTGGGTGGAAGCACTTTCTTCCTTGCAGCAAAGGGACTGGAGGGCACTCCATGCAGGGTGAAGGGACCAGCTACTGTGGAAGGGTGGCTTTGATGGGAATTACTTGCAAATATCCAACAACTGGTGAAGGCCAGTCGTGTGCTCTAGTCAGGCCTGGTAGTTCTGGTGCCTGAGATGCAGCACCAGTACTGAAGCTTTGAGGAGGGTCAGTAGTTCTTGGTAGTACAGGTGTGAGTCCAGGAGTGGAATAAAGGACGAGGATACAGACACCTTTAGCACAGAGTTGGACAGTGTTGTTCAAAGTGGAACAGGGGGTTAATACAAGGAACAGGGTGAAAGTAACAGCAGGATCTGTTCTTCCTGGGTTCCAGGAAGGCCCTTGGGTGGGTTCTGCTGGGCCATGAGGGAATGGGAGTCACAGCTGCAGGTCCCTCCCAGGCAGGGTTGTTTACCTGCCCCACATCGTAAGTTCACGACAGGCAGTGAAACAGCTCATCTTGTGCCCTGTTAGGGACTTAGTACTGATTCTCACTTCTGGGCTTTAACAGTGTCAATGGCTGTTTGTGTTGAGCAGGGACCAGCGCATCAGCCAGGATGTGGAGAGGTTCTGCAAGCAGCTCAGCTCCATGGCCAGCAAGCTCATCATCTCACCCTTCACACTGGCCTACTACACGTACCAGTGCTTCCACAGGTAAGAGACATCCTGGCCCTGCTTTCATGCCTCTTTCCCCTTCTTGGAGCCTGGCACCCATGTTACAACTCCCCAGATGGACATTTGTACGTCTCTGTGCATCAAAGGGAATTCTGCCTTGGGGATGCTGGGCTGTGCAGTGCTGGCCCCCAAACCTCTCTTAAAACCAAGAGAGGTGACAGCTGAGGGCTCTGAATGCTTGAGCCGGTGGGTGCTGGGGTGTCCTTTTGCTTGCAGTATTAGCTGACCTCTCTTTCTCCTCCTCTGTAGCACAGGCTGGCTAGGTCCCGTGAGCATCTTTGGGTACTTCGTCATTGGGACGATTGTCAATAAGGTATTGATGAGCCCAATTGTGTCTAAACTTGTGCAGCAGGAAAAACTGGAGGGGGATTTCAGGTGAGTCACAGCAGAGCAGCGTTTTCACTGCCTCTTGGCAGCTCCTGGAAAGCTGCGTTTCTGTCCCAGAGTGCTATGTGTGCAGCTACTTCCCTTGTGCTTGACTTCCCCCACACTCCAAGAAACCCGCCTGCGCGGTGCTGCCCCAAAGCCCATGTGCTGATCCCCCCCCAACCCCTTTCACTGCCCTGTGTCATGGCAGGCAGTGCCCTTGGTTCAGTCTGCAGGCTGCTGGCCTGGTCATTGCTGGTGTCTCTGCTAGGGCATTAGATGTGAAGAAGAAAACTGCACGTAGAGCTTCCTTGGGTGCAGATGCAAGTTCAGTGAACTGCATTTACTGACAGAAATCAGGTTTCTGCTTCACCACCACCTTCATGAAGTGCCCAAAACAGCACAGTCTTTCTATATGCTCTGTAGCTGTTCTCCCCCCTTTCCCTGCAGGGCTGGCTGGGTGTGTGGCAGGGGCTTTGCAGCTTTCCCTGGGGCTCAGGGCATCCAGGGACAGCAGCAGAAGCTGGTGTGGCACAGGGAACCCAGACCAGGGCAGTTGGTTGTGGTGATTCTGTATGGTGGACACACTGGGCTAGCAAATGGGAGGCCCAAGGGCCAAAAAGATGTGCAGAGAGAGCAGGATAGCAAACAAATGTGCCACTGAGCTGGCCCAGAATGATATTACCTTGTGCTAAGCCTTGGTCTCTTGTGCTTGTTCTGAGCTTATTGAGTATTTCTGTCAAGAGACACCTCAGATCAGTGCTCTGACAGAGGCAAAACAAGACGTCTTTAGCAAGGATGCTGGCTACATAATTCACCAGGCATTTGTGCACAGTCCTGATGATGTTTTTTTTGGGTTGTCCAGGTTCAAGCACATGCAGATTCGTGTCAATGCGGAACCAGCTGCTTTCTACAGGTTAGTAGCGTTCATTTCTTTGCATCCTTGTAAGGATCCTCCCAGCTTGGGGCATCCTAGTTGTATTTGTGTATCCCAGAGGAGTCCAAGTCCTGTTGCTGCAGCTGCAGGTCTGTCTCCTCCATACCACTACAGCATCGTACAGCCCTGACACTGTTCTCCTTTGCATTCTGCACGTCGTCTGCAGAAATACTCCACAGCAGCTGGAGACAAGTTTTTTCTCTGCCTTCCTCCTAACATCCCCAGAGGCCTCATACAGATTTGTTCCTGGCTTAGACACCGTTGTTGATGTTTTGCCAGGTCCTTACCTAGAAGATTGCTCGAGGGCTCATTGCATCTTGTCAGATGTTCCCCTGGGGACTTGTTGCAGGTTGCTTCTGGACGCCTCCTGCTGCTGCTAACCTGCATGTCTTCTGTAGATGTGCCAGCTGGTGCCTGGCCTCCTTCCCTCTGCTTGCTCTGCTCTAGGGCAGTCTGTGCCATGACCCTCCCAACTCTTTACTGCTACTCTCCAAATTCACTCTGTGTTTACCCCAGAGCTGAGCACACAGCTGGGGGCCTGGCAGCGCTTTCCCGCTCAGTGATGCCCTACCGTCTGTTGAGCTGCTGCTTGGAGCCTTTAAGGTGTTTCACAGAAATGGCTAGAACCCAGGAAACGGGCCACGATTTTACTGCAGCTTGTGTTGGGGCACCCAGTCGGTGGCAGGAGGTCACTGCCGCTTTCTTGTCACCTGTCTGCCTTTGCCCTGCACGTTGTGAAATCACGCTTCTTACAGGAATTTAAGCAAGTGGCAGCTGCCCTGTCTCTGATCTTCCCTGCCTGTGACCTGTGCTCCTTCATACTGTAGTGACATGAGCGTTTCAAGTGTTGTGATGCTGTCCCCAGAGTGGTTTGATTCAAAACCACTGATTTCATAAAGATTGGTATTGGCAGGTATGAAACTCTGATATAGGTAACCGCAATTAATCTTGCTCAATCTTGGCAAGTTTGAGCTATTTCTTTGTGGGCTGGTTGATTCTTACTGGTTGATGATAATTTTTCTTAATGGAGAGATACTCTGATTACGTGCCCTTATCTATGCTGCAGTGCTTTTCCTCACAATTTTGAAGGTTTTTATTCTATTACTAAGTAGAAAATTGAAAGTGAGTTATTATATGAGAAAACTGAGTGTCAACTCAGTGAAAGTGAAAGTACAGTGAAAACTGTACTTCAGTACAGTTCATCAGTAGAAATGCTTCACTTGGTGAGAGAGTAGAATGTAATTGAATTCCACAAACCCAGGCGTTGTCATGGTATGAATCTTAATTAAAAATAAAGGAATTTTTTAAAAGGTTGCATTCCTAGAATCCTGCGAGAAGTGCCTGTGGTGCGTGCCTGGTTTTGATTGCCGGACTTCTCTAGCTTGTAGAAGCTGTTAGATCTTGTCCCCTTGCACCTGCCTAGCCATCGTTTTGGTAAAGGAAGAAATGAAACCTGAGCTTTGTGCTTTTCGAATACCCAGCAGGGAAGGTTGCAGCTCATTCCTTGCCTGAAATGGGTTGTAGGACAGTAATGCCAAACGGAATTCTAACTGTATGTATTTTTGAGAAAGAAAATGTATTTTTCAAAGAACTGAGACTCTTCAGAAATCATAATTTGTGGGGGTTTTTTGTGCAGCTCCTGGTCCTGTCTGCTGGGTCCCTAGTGACTCGCATGTTGTGTGGACCATGGTGGGAGCGTGGGTGTGTGGTGGGTGCGGGGGCAATGGCGGGTGGGGAGCCTGGAGCTCTCTCTGCATTTTGCCACCTGAGGGCAGCCCTGCTCTTGCGAAGGAGCGGGAGGAGCTGCCACGCTTGCTGGAGGCCGAGATGGGCCTTCTTGCTACCGGCTCAGCCTGGCTGTGGGAGCATCACTGCTAGCTCAGGTGGTGGGCTACTCCCCGATGCCCATGGGGATACCCCTGGGAAAGGGGGGCCTGTGGGCTGGGCTCACCTACACTGGGGGGTTACACTGCTTGGGGCACATCCACATCCCGCTCCTTTGGGCTGGGGAAGAGTTGGACTGGGCTGCCTAGCTGTGCAGGTGATGTTGGCTTGCCATCACCCTTGGGCTGCCCTCTGCGCTCTGGCTCCAGCTGTGTAGCAGTGCCATCCCTCTCTCCCAGCCAGGCCCTGCTTGGAAAGTGTGTGCAACCTTGGGTGTGCACTGCCTCAGGCCAGGGCCTGGCTGGTGGTGTCTGGCCTCGCCTTGCCTCCTCCCCTATGCGACAGCAGCACCCATGGGCTCTGGGGGAGACTTGCAGGGCTGCTTGTTAGAGCAAGAGTTTATTTCATGAGAGTGTCCTTCATGAAGGAGCTCATGGGTGTTCAGTCCTGCTCAGCTGAGAGCTGTTTCTTGGATGCTACAGTGTCAGAGCCTTTCCAAGCCTCAGCCCTAAAGCCCGTGCTTTGATCCCACTGCAGTGCTGGCGGGATGTCTGTGGCATGTTGCAATCTTACTTTACAGGGCTGGGCGAGTGGAGCACATGCGCACGGACCGGAGGCTGCAGAGCCTGCTGCAGACCCAGAGGGAGCTGATAGGCAAGGAGCTGTGGCTATACAGTGAGTGGGGAGTTTGGGGGCTGAACTGGGGCATGTGGTAGCTTCGCTGCAGTGGCCTGCAGGGTTGGGAACCCAACTGCTAGAGCAGCAGTGCTGGGTTTTCCTGTCCCATCCCTTGCTGGTCCACGGTGCTGAGAGTGAACAGAGGGTGTCTGCTGCACTCCTAAATGGGAATCCTGGTGTAAAATGTCTGGTAGACAGGAAAGTTGTGGAGGACCCAGCTAAGTCAGAAAATGCAAGTCACAAAAGGGGAAGCTGCAGAAATCTGTGGGGTTTGTGGGATAGGTGTTGAATAGCCAGGAAGAGGGGGAAGGGCTTGAACTTTGGTGGAGAAGAAGACTCTCTATATATGGTTGGGAGCTGTGGAGATTTCTTTCCTACAGCTTGTCTCTTGAGCATAGTTGTCCCCTGAAAATCTCCCTTCTCTCATTGTCACTGGGTCCAGGTTTGGGTTAAATCATAGAATGGTTTGGGTTGGAAGGGACCTTAAAGACCATCTAGTTCCAACTTCCCTGCCATGGGCAGGGACACCTTCCACTAGACCAGGTTGCTCAGAGCCTCATCCAGCCTGGCCTTGAACACTTCCAGGGATGGGGCATCCACAGCTTCTCTGGGCAACCTGTTCCAGTGCCTCACAACCTTCTCCAGGAAAAATGTCTTCATTACATCCAATCTAAATCTACTGTCTTTCAGTTTAAACCCATTACCCCTTGTCCTGTCACTACAGGCCCTTGTAAAATGTTCCTCTCTAGGCAGCTGTTCCTTATCCCACCAGCACAGTGTGCTTCTGAGGAATGTAAGGGAGGTAGAGCCCTGAACTGTGATGTCTCCATGGGAGTTTGGGGTCTTTCTGCCTGTCCGGTGCTCCAAGACAGGTTTCATGGCCAACCACCTCACCCCAGAGCTTCACTTTTTGCCCTCCCTCCTGTTTCTCAGGATTCAGTCAGGCCCCTGAAGAGTAGAACCAAGCAGGCAAAGTGCCATTTGTCCCATGGTTGTTCCTGAGCTGTGTGTCTGATGATGTTTCTTCACTTGGGTGGCTGCCCCAAAGTGCTTTTTGTTTGGCAAATGGATTTTCACCCTGGTGCTTGTGCTGTCCTGCAAAGTGGCTGGTTCTGCTCTGATGCATTTTGAAGGGTTAAAGGAATAACGTGGGTTGTCTTCTACCTGGGCTTATGGGCTGCACTTGGGCCTGGCTGGGACAGAGCTTCCTACCCCAACTCACTGTCTTCTCTCAATGTGCTTCTGCCCAGTTGGGGTCAACACCTTTGACTACCTGGGCAGCATCCTGAGCTACGTCGTCATTGCCATTCCCATCTTCTCTGGGGTCTACGGTGACCTGAGTCCAACAGAGCTCAGCGCCCTGGTCAGCAAGGTGAGCTAAGGGTGATCTCCCAGACCCAACTGTGAAGGGTGAGCAGGCACTGAGGATGAAGGTTTTGTGGGGGGTTGGTGACACTGGGGCTGGATAACCTGCAGCGATTGACCTTCAGGTTAGACTGTCCCTGCCTATGGTGGCATGGAAATGGGAGCTCGGAGCCAGCTGGTTTATGATTAACCTAGGGGTGAGAGCTGTCTGGGACACATCTACATAAGTGTTTCCTAGCTCAGACCTCTGGCTTTCAGTGGTGTGGGTGGGGATTGGGTCTGCACAGTGCTGTGCATAGGGTTATGCCCTGGGCTGCTGTCCATGGTCACCTTGGCCACCTGTGAGGCTGAGCTGGCTTGCATTTGCCTGCCAGGCAGCTGGAAAGGAGCCTTCCTCACCTGGCTTGTTCCCAGATACTCAAAAGTGGCTTGCGACAGACAAAGCAGAGCTAAAATTAGCTGAGCAGGCACTGCGGGCTGGGACACCCTGCTCTGAGCCGTGTGTGGTGCCAGGGCAGGGCTGGTGGCTTGGATCTGCGTGACTTGGTGGGGCAAGTGTGCTGGGCCCATGGCTGGCCAGCAGATGCTCTGCACACACCATCCCTGGGTGGCTGGAGGTGTGCACCCCCGGCCAGAACTGCTGTGCTGAGGAGGGAGGCCCTGCTTCATCTGAATATGGCCACCTTCTCCTTCACTCCCACCACCCTGGGTGACTTCTCCACCCTTCATACTGCTGTCTGGACTCCTTGGCTGCCTCCTCACCAACCACGAAGGAAGGAGCAGTGTCCCAGCTCAGCACTGACCCTTGCTCTACTGTGTGATTTCTCCCCAGAATGCCTTTGTGTCCATCTACCTCATCAGCTGCTTCAGCCAGCTCATAGACCTCTCCAGCACCCTGACCGACGTGGCTGGCTACACACACAGGTGAGCTTCCCTGTTGGCAGGTCTCTGCAGGAAAGGGGAGTGTGGGACAAGACTCTTTGCACAGGTCCGTGCTAAATACAGAAGAGCACTTGTGAGCCAGCACAGGCAAGGTTGGGTGTTGTGAGGGGGCTGCTGGAGTTGTCCCTGGCATTCATGCAACCTCTTGTTTATCCAGGATTGGTGAACTGCAGGAGACCCTGCTGAGCCTTGGCAGAAAACAAAATGATAACTACTCCGAAGCCAAAGCCAGCTGGGATTTGGATGGGTGAGTCTCCCCTTCAGCAACTGCCTGGCTTGCAGTTTAGGTGGCAGAGTGTGGGGCTGTTACAGGATGGAGGTGGCTGTTGGTGTCACGGCCTGTTGCAGGCAGCTGGTTGGAGCAGGCAGTGCAGACTGTGGTCTGTCATTCCTGGGAGTGTGGGGCAGGACTGCTGTCACAGGGGCATGGAAGGTCTAAGGTGCCTGATCTTTACCGGTCTCAGCATGGTGGCATACCCCCAGAGCTCTTCTCCTTTGTCTTGGTGGAGGTACAGCAGCCATTCCGGGGAGGAACCAAGGGACACAGCTTTCCTTCTGGAGCGAGTGATGCTCTCGGTGCCATCATCTGGCAAGCTGCTCATCAAGGACCTGAGCCTCAGGATCTCGCAAGGAAACAGCATATTGATTGTGGGGAACACTGGCACGGGGAAGACCTCCCTGCTGAGGGTCCTCGGGGGACTCTGGGAGAGCACACGGGGTAAGGACTGCTGCTCACTGCAGACCCCTCTTTCTCAACCAGGGCTGCCCTGAGTTTGGAAGGTGGCAGGGTGGGGTTGTGAGGCCAGTGCCACCCTGTGATGGTAAATGTGTCGATGCATCGGAACCACCCATCTCTGTATCGCAAGCTCTGCTCTGGTTCTCATTGCTTTGCCCTGTGTTGCAAATCTGCCTTTTCTGGAATTTGTAGGCTACTTCATGGGGCTGGACTGCACAGGGGGTGGTGGGGAGTTGCTGGCTGGCGCTGTAGGCTTGGCCTACAGCCTGTGTGTCTCCATGCAGGGAGCATCAAGATGCTGACCTGCTTTGGCCCCCGGGGAGTGGTGTTCCTGCCACAGCGGCCCTTCTTCACCGACGGAAGCCTGCGCGAGCAGGTGAGCCCAGGGACTGCCTCTGCTCTGGCCCAGCTCTGCTCCTGGCTGGGGTCGTGTCCTGCGAACCTGAGCGCTGCAGAAAAGCCTGCAGATGAGAGGATGCCTGTGGCTGCTCCTTCCCTCGTGCCTGAGCTCATGCCACTGCCGCTGTGTCTCTGGTGGACTGTGTCCAGCTCCCTCTGACGTGGCTTCTTGTGGTCTGTTAAACAGGTGATCTATCCCCTGAAGGAGATCTATCCGGTTTCAGGTATGTGGAGATTCATTGAGCAGTTAGCCAGTCGTGTGGTCTCAGCTCCCTGTCCTGGACCCAGTGCGGCTTCTCGCCTACCGTGCCCCATCAGGAGCGCTCATCTGTTTTGCTTGTGTTGCTCTCTTCTTTCCCCCAGAACATTTACCTTACTGTACTTTAAGGTCAGCTCTGTGTTCCCTCCCTTTTGGGAAGGAACGTATTCCCTTGATAAGAAATACTCTCTTGATGCAGTGAGGACAAGCGGACTGTGCTCTGCATGTTGTGCTGGATGTGATGTGTGTTGAAGCACCTTGCGGTTGGGATGCATCTGATCTGCATGGTACAACCTGCCTTTGGGCAAGCCATGTTTGCCACCTTCTCCTTTTCCATCCGCCTCCATCTTTCACCGTTCCTCTTTTCCAAATGACATCCCAGGGCCTTGCGTGCTGTTGAGGTCAGACTGGGGGGGATCCTTTCTCTCCCCTGCCCTCTTCCCACGTCAGACCACGTGTGGTCAGCCGCAGCTTGCAGGTGTGCAGGTTTAAGGCAGTGTGAGTGTGAGTGAGGCAGTGTTACATGCTGCTTTCAAACACTTGGGAGCTGCAGAGTAACAGCAGCCATCAGCCTCTGTCGCGGCTCTTGAGCAGCTTCAGATCCTTGTGTTCTGGCTGTGCCCATCTGTGGCCATGGACCGAGTCAAGTCTCATAGCTGCAGAGCCCAGCTACCTCCTGGCATGCTGCCCACAGCCACGGTTAACGTTTTTAGGGAAGGTGGTCTGTCTTTGGGAGCCGCTCTCTGCCCAAACTCAGGACCTGATACAGCTAAGTGGTCAAGTTGGCTACACTGGACTTCAGGAGATCCTTCAGTCCTTCCCTTCTGCCCCCCCAGCTCCTCCTTGCAGCGGTGGCCTCAGCACGTTACCTCTGCTTATGCTTTACTGCTTTCACCCGTAGGGTCTGCAGATGATGAGAGAATTGTGCGATTCCTGGAGCTGGCTGGGCTGGTGAGTCCCCGGGGCTGTTGCTGCCTGCCTTCCTGGTGCTGCCAGTGAGGGAGAAAGGGATGAGGTGACCCTGTGCTGGATGCATGTGGGGACATTGTCTGCAGCTGGGACGGGACTGTCCATGGGACAGGCAGAGGAGGAGGGATACGGAGCAACTTCAGCTCAAGTGGAAAAAGAGAGATTAGCAGGAAGGGGGTGGTTATGCCCAGGGTTGGGGTCTGTGTTCACAAGTCTGCTCTGCTTTCTGCAGACTGATTTGCTAGCGAGGGCTGGAGGACTGGATGAGCCGGTGGACTGGAACTGGTAAGGGAGCTCACCATCTGCTTGATTTGGGTGATCCCTCTGGGTGGGAAATGCTTCTAAGCAGATGCATGTTGCTGCTGGACTTAGGAACATCTGTGTCCAGTGGGAGTTGGGCAGTATACAGGGGCAAAGCCTTCATGCCTCGAGCCTCAACACCAACTATCACCAGCCATGCTGCTCTGCAGGCAGCTGACTGTGCACAGAGGTGCAGAGCCAATCCCCGCATGGAGAGGGACATGGGGAACACACAGGGGTAGTTGTTTTCTGGAGTCTCTGTTATCAGCAACCATAAGCTCTTCAGCCACGAGCTCTCTTTGTTGAGGGAGATTTTCAGTCTCGACCCTGCTGCAGGTATGACATCCTGTCCCCAGGGGAGATGCAGAGGCTCTCGTTCGCACGGCTCTTCTACCTCCAGCCAAAATATGCGGGTGAGTGACTGCACAAGAAAGGAGGGGAGAAAAAAAAAAGGCAGGGCCTTTGGTGTAAAGAGAAGCTGGTACAGAGACAGCTCATGAAATCCCTTCTTTTGGGGGGATGCTTCGTCTCGGCCATTATTTTAGCAGTGTAGCACACAGGATTCAGGGGTGAAAACATTTCATTACCTGTGTGGAGGGTGATAAATGTGGAGGGCTGTGTATAAGACTTCCTCTTCTTAGGGAGCTAGTGATTTAATGTTCTTGGTTCAGGTCCAATGGCAGCTGAAGGAGCCCCCTCTTAGCATGCTCACCGGTTGCTGTGTAAAGAAGCATGCATGCCACGTAAGGAAGGGTGCCATGCTGGGGAGCATGGCATCAGCTGCCGTATCTGGGGCTCGTGAACCTCTCTAGTGTTGTGGAAGCAATGTAGGGAATTTAGCTGCAACACAGCTAAAGAAAACAAGGAGCGGTGGGAGAAGCAGTCCCGAGAGATTGTGGAAGCAGCTCCCATTAGCAGATGGGGCAAACTTCTTCGCACACTCAGATTGCTAATGACTGCTGGGGGGCTGTTGGAGGAGTTGTCATGGGGGCCGGGGTCAGTGTGGGTGAACAGAGCTGGTGTCAGTCACAAGTACCCCTGTGTAAGTACCTCTCTTCCCCTGAAGCCTGCAGCACGGCTTGGTGCTGCCTGGGTGGAAGGAACCTGTGGGTTGCAAGCTAAAAGCTGTAGAGATGGTATAAAACAAATGGGATTTATCTGCCCCAGGTCTGTGGTATTTACCCTTAAGTGATGGGAAGGTGTCCTGGCTGCTCCGGTGGGGTTTGTGCCCGGGGGTGTGCAGCCTGGGGCTCTGGCACACAGCCCACCTTGGGAAGGTCGCATCTTGGCGTTCACAGCGGTGGGGAAGAGGCAGTGGCTGGCAGCTGCTGAGGGAGAGGAATGAGGTGAATGGCATTGTTTGGGTGGATTTGAGGGCCTGTGGGAAAGGGCAGCTTTCCCAGTTGGCTGACACCACTATGCCAGAGGAAAATCACGATCCTTAGGCTTCTCCTCACTTGCCTTCTGCAGATGCTTTTGGTGAGGTTTGGTTAATATGTGGAATATTCTAGGTAGTTGCTGGTCTTTTGCCCAGGGAGAGATAACCTGGGGGGAGGGAAGGGGATTTGTGGGGCTTACGGCTTTTCTCTCAGTGCTAGATGAAGCCACCAGCGCCCTGACAGAAGAGGTGGAGCATGAACTGTACCGTGTGTGCCTTCAGCTGGGCATGACGCTGGTCAGCGTGGGACACAGGGCCAGCCTGGAAAAGGTGAGATGGGGAGGCAGCACTCCACACCTCCCTGGGGGTGGCAAGACAGGGGAGGCAGAGAGGGTCCCTGGCGAGGAGACGGGAGTGACTGAGGCTGGAGAGCCTCGCTGTGGGAGGCCGTGCCCTCAGAGACATCCCTCTGTCATTGTGTTATTGCAGTTCCATAGCTGGATTTTGAAACTTCACGGGGAGGGAAGATGGGAGCTCATGCGGTGTGAGAAGCTGAAGCGGCTCCCAGCTGGGGAAGGATGCTGAAAGGCAGGCTGTTGTCTGGCCAGCCGCAGAACCTGCACGCGCCTGGGAGAGCTTAGAATAGCGGACACGGAGCTGCCAGACCAACAGCTGACAGCAAGGGATTCATCCAGTGCAAGACCAGTTCTGGATTTTGCTGATGGACACAGGGCCGAGTCTGAACTCATGGTGTGGGGTTCTGCCAGGAGCAGACACGTCTATGCCATCCTTCTCCCAGCCCCCTTCTCCTGCCTCCTTGCCCCTCGTGGGGGAAGGGGCTGAGCTGCTGGGCTGCCCAAAGAGAAGATGCTGCCTCAGAGGGCTTGTAGAAGCAATGGCCAGAGGATCCTCCAGGATGCAGTGGTGTGAGGCTAGAGTGCAGCCTCCTGTTCTGCCCTCTGTGCCTCGCTGGGACCTCTGTCTCTCTCCTGCACAGCTCTGCGGAACAGGCATCTGTGCCTGTGGCTCTGCTGAGGGCTGTGCTCCCCAGCAGGAGCCGAGGGATGCCAAGGGGGGGCAATGCTGGCACAGAGAAGGGGTATGTCTCTGCTTTCCTCATGACACAGGGATACAGATCAAAGAAACACTTCTGTATTAAAATCTGGGGCCTCTTTTCCAGTGATGTTTAGGGAGAAGAGTCACTACTTGTTATCCCGACTGCTGCATCTTTTCCTTCTGGGGTTTGCGTCGGAAGAAATGCTTCTATATTGGCAATGGTCCTGGACTAGACTATTGCTGAAGAGCAGAGCAGGGGTAGGAGTAACATACTTGTCCAGGGCTGATCATCCTGCCCTGCAGCTCGCTCCACAGCGACTGCAAGGCACAAGGAACGCCAAGGAGGGCTTTGGCCCTCGTTTTTTAAGGGAAGAAATGGAGCTCGCTTCCCCTTGTTCTGCCTATGATGAGTCACGTTCTGTCCCCTGCCTCCCATAGGTGTGTGGAGACAGGTTTTGAGGGTCTCTGTGTTGAGGAGAGGTCACGGCCTGCTGTGCAGGTAGGGTCTCTCGGCACTTGCTGGCACTTGCTTAGTGGCATTTCTGGATGTGGTCCCAGCTCTGCAGTGGAGGAGCAGGAGGCAGCTGCTGGCAGAGCCAAGCTAGCGGCTGTTCTGCCCCTCCACCAGGTGCTTGTGGCCCTCTATGATCTGCTGCACGGCTTCGTGGTCGTCCAGGGCGGTTAGATCCCCGAGCTCGCTGGCCTTGTCCTCCACGATCTTCCTCAGCACCCGGCGCATAATCTTCCCCGAGCGTGTCTTTGGCAGTCGGTGCGTGACCTAGGACGGGGAGGAGCAGAGCGAAGGCTGAGGGAGAGGGGTTGACCAGGCTGCTGGGGCGGGTGTTGCACCAGCCTGCACACTACCTGGACGTACTCTGGGGCCGCGTACTTGGCGATCTTCTTTGAGATCAGCTCCCGGAGCTCAGCAGCCAGAGTCTCCTCTGTGTAGCCACTGTCATTTTTCAGCACAACAAATGCATAGGCCCCTGGCAGAAGGACCACCGTGCTGAGCACCACGCACAGCGTGCTTCTGAGAGCCTGCCTGGGCCTGGTGCCAGGAGAGGTCCCTCTCCCCTGGTAGCCTCAGGGGATGCTCTGTAGCTGGAGCTGTAAGTGCTTTTGACCATGGTGCTGCTGCCTTGTGCAAAGCCCGGCTGGTCTTGGGTAGGTTATGGTGGCTGTGCCGAGATCCCCGCTAACATGTACAGTGTTGGCACAGCGTTGCTACCAGGGGTTGGTGTGACGGTGCCACTTCCCATGGCTGTGCAGTAACCCCGGGAAGGACATTTCAGGGGCAGGAAAGCAAGCACCTTACCTTCTCCCTTGATCTCATGTGGGTAGCCAATGACAGCAGACTCTGCCACTGCTGCGTGGTGATTCTGGAAGAGAACAGGGCTGGGGTTTGGCTCATTGCTTTTGGCAGGCTGGCTGCCACCTCAGACCTGCCCTGACCCAGCTGGGCTGCTGCAGCCCATGGCAATGTGGAGGGATAGGGAAGGACGTCAGATGGCCTCTGTCCTTTTTCCTTCTTGCCTCAGCAGGTCTGTCTGCAAACACAAATCCTCCCCCCCTGCTCCTGACTCTTTGCACCCTCTGGACTCTGTTCTGTGCCTCCAGGTTGCTCCTCCAAGTCCCTCCACCAGGTCCCACAATTTTTACTGGCCCATGGATGCCCCTTGACATGCCTGGCTGCCGCTTTGGGATTCAGTATCAACCTTATCAGTCTTTGTCCCTCCCTTGCTGCAGAGAGCCAGAATGGGAGGGAAGAGGGTGGGAAGCTGTTCCCACAGGCAGGCTGTGGATCCAGCACTTCCTTGCTGCTACAGCAGCGTGTTTCTGCCTGGGTATTTCTAAGAAGCTTCCTTGAGCACCAGCAGCGTGCCTTTGCCGTCCCCTCGGGTGGCTTTTCCTCCCACCCACACCTCTTACCACAACATCCTCCACTTCCGCGGTGCCCAGACGGTGTCCGCTGATGTTAATGATGTCATCCAGCCGTCCCGTCAGCTGGTAGTAGCCCTCGCTGGTACGATACACACCGTCCGCGGTGAAGAAAAACCCTGCAGAGACCAAAACCGTGCCACGGTCACTTGTGGTGGCGAGCATGAGCTGCTCGTCACCCACGCTCTCGCCTTGCCCCCTTCTCCTCTCTGTGGCACCAGGGCTCGTGTTCTCCATGCCTCATCAGCTGCTCAGGGTGAAGGTGCCCTTCTGCCTTTTTAGTTTTTGCCTTGGTTGGTACCTGCTCTGTCAGGCTCCTTCCCTCATCCTGCAGTGTGCCAGCGAATGCCTGGCCTGCCTCATCACCACGAGCCAGGAGCACTTTGCTCCCATGCAGGTGCCTGTGGTCCTGCTGTGTTCCCCCTTAGCTTTGCATCACGACACCCACCCTTGGGCTCGCTCAGTGCCTCTGGATGAGTGACAGAAGCCAAGAGGGCTTGCAAGAGATGTACCAAGAGGCCTGAGGACACAAGGGCAAATCCACTGCCTTAAAAACCACGTGTGGTCCGGTAGGGAAGGTTGGTGAGAGAGATCCATTCGCAGGGCAGTGCTGAAGTACCGGGCTTGGGGAGATGAAGGGCCTCAACACTGGAGGGTCTGTGGAAGAACGGAGCAGCAGAGCTAGCTCTCCTGAGTCCTGCCCTTGTGTGGAAAACCAGGAAGCAGACCCAACCAACACCTCTGCAGTGACCTGCCATGCATTTTCCTTACCTGGATAAGGAGTCAGATAGGTTTCCAGAAATCTCTTGTGGTCATTGTAAATGGTTCGTGCCATACCTGGCCAGGCTTGTGAGATGCAAAGGGCCCCAGAGATGTTGTTTTCCAGTAGGACATTTCCCTGTAAAATAGGTAACTTGTAGTAACTGTGCCTGAGGGTGCTTGGAATGATGAATCATTGCCTGTTTAACAACCCTGCGATGGAAATGTCAGGAAGGCAGTGAGGAGAGTCCTGTGCCTCCTACTCCGATGGGACAGGCACAGCCTCTCCCAGCAGATGCCTGCAACCAGCTGCCCCTGCCCAGCAACCTCACCGTGGAAAGACGTGCCAGGGAGCTGGAGCACAGCCCGTATTGTCAGGACAGGGCAAGCTAGAAAACAACTCAGCTTCTGCATGAGTTGGAAGAACAGCTTCGCTGCTAGTCCCTTCCCAGCAAAGAAGGTCGCAGAGGATAGCAGGAAAGGCGCGCTTGCAGATCTCAGCTCCTGTCAGCAAGTAGGTGCTGCAAGTGCCTGGGGGAAAGCGGGCTAAGCCAGTGACTGAGCTGCAGGTTAAAATGTACCTTGTCATCCAGGAGGGAGGGGCTGATCCCAAAAAAGGGTCTCATAGCCATGCCTGGAAGGATTTCAGCTCCAGGATTCGAAGGACGGGGTGAGATACAGATGCCTCCTGTTTCTGAAGCAAAAGAAACCATAACGCTCATCGAAGTTGGGGATGAGGAAAGCCAGGTAGCACTGCTTGGGCCAACAGCCTTTGCCCTGGCCCTTGCTGCACCCTTCTGGACCACAGGCTGGGGCTGTGTTTGCCAGAGAGCTGAGGAAGGATCTTTGCAGAAGGATGATCCTGTTTGTGTAGTTCAACTCCCCTGTGTTTCTCTGGGTTAGCTTTAAAGGCCATTTCTCCCTCATCTTTGGGTGCCCGTGGCCCCTTACGGCAACGCTCATACACAAGTGTCAGTAACACCCGCCCCTGCTTTGCCAGCAAAGTCACTCCTAAAGCCTGGGAGAGCAGAAGCTGGGATGAGGGGTTGTACACATCTCACCAGTTTGCCACCATGTGTCCACTACTGGGCACCGTGTCTCGCCGACCACGCGGAAGTACCACTCCCAAGCCTCCTTGTTGATGGGTTCTCCCACTGCAAGGGGAAAGACAAGGGGACAGAGCTGGAAGATGGGCTCACAGACACAGCTTCCCAGGGCCTGCCAGTGGAGCCACACCCAAACACCGTACTTCCCCGACTTTCGTGTGCTGCTGCTGTTGGCATCCGTGGGAAGAGGCAAAACCTGATGCCCAAATATTTGTTGCTCCAGGCTGTGTCACCAGAAGTTACCTGAGCCAAGCACTTTGAGAGAAGAGCGGTCATACTTCTTCACCCATTCATCGCCGTATCTCAGGAGCAGGCGGATGGCAGTGGGCGCCCCGTAGAACTGGTTAATTTTTAACCTCTCCACTGTTTCCCAGTAGCGGCCTGCAATGGAAACGGGGCCAGTAAGCATGCACACAGGTCCTCCCAGTCTGAGACCAAGATAGAGGGAGAGGGGGTGACAGAGCAAGGGCTTTCCAGCAGTGCCTGGACCCTCAGCCAAGCAAATCCCATGCTGTAAAGGACTTAAGCAGGAGCCTTTTCCTCCATACCACCTAGTTCTACTCTCCCTGCTGCACGGAGGGACAGGGAGAAACAGCTTCATCCCTGGAGAAGCAGCAGTGGCTTCCTAACCAGAAGTAAAGACTCTTCTTGCAGGTCTATGCGTCTGCTCCTGCGGCAGCAGAACCATTGCTGCCTGTGTCCTGCCATCGAGCTGGCAACTCCCTG